TCACAACACCTGGCTCTGCCCAGCAGGGGGAAGAGGCCAGTGTCCTCAGCCCAAGTCCTCAGAATCAGTGGCCTCTATGTGGCCATCAGTGAGTGTGTGTGTGTGTGTGTGTGTGTGTGTGTGTGTGTGTGTGATGGAGCCCACTCTGGTATTTTCAAGCTGATAAAACTGTGCTCTGTTTAAGAACCATCTTGTCAGAGAGAGTTTCAAAGGCCAGCTGAGCAAAGAGTGTATGGTTACACAGAGGTGCTGGGTCTGGGTGTTTGGTTAAACATCTCAGCACCAAGGCTGCTGGGATCAGGTGCCGAGAACACAGACTCCCCCTCTTGGTGGACGCGCTGGGAGCTGTAAGGGTACACGTCCTCAGGTGCAATTTCTCTTCACTGTCCACCTTGGCAGCTTCCAGGATCCTTCTGTGTCCTGAACTGCACACACAAACAAAGCTCCCAGCAAAACCTGAACTCAGATTGTGAGGAAATGGGGACAGAAGGGCTCCTAGGCTCAGCGATGCCTCCGAGGACCATGTGACCATGAGGTCTCCCTTCAGCACCTGGCACTTTGTCCCATTCCTCACCTGGGGTGACGCTCTCAGACTGGATTGTGGGTGGGACAACTACCCTCTCAGTTGCTCTCCCGTCTCCCAGCCTTTGACCCTAGACAAAGAGCATGAGTCTCCCTGAGGCCCGATTTCTTCATCTGCTACTTGGGGCGATGACATTTTCCCTTCCTGCCTCAGGGAACTGGAGGCAGGACTCTCCAAATAAAACCAGTGAGAACCATGCCTCGCCAGGATTCTTCCCCACTTGTCAGGGACTGTCCTGGACTAGGAGGCCTGGGGTGCTGTGCTTACGGTTGGCGGTTCAGATCCACCAGAAGCGCCACAGGAAAAAGGTGGGGCAGTTGACTTCGTAACGATTCACAGCCTCGGATTCTGTCCCTCAGGGTCACTATGAGTAAGAACCGAGCCCAACGCCGTGGGTTCTTTACCTGTCCCAATGAGCTGTTACAAACCCCACACCAAATGTACCGCCTTGCCTTGGTTCTCACTCAGAGCTACACTACAAGGAGCAGAGCCACTCCAGAGACCAGGGTTTTTTAAAGTTGTGAATCTTTACAGATGCAGAAAGCTACAGTGTTCTCCCACGCAGCCACTAGTGCGTTTGAGCTGCTGACCTTGGGACGAGCAGCCTGGAGCTGAGCCACTGTACCACCACGACCCCTACAGAAGTGCTCTGTGCTGTGGATCAGGGCCAGTGTGCCATTGCAAGGGAACGGCCACTGTGAGGCCCAGGGGAGGTAGTGCATGCAGGATCTATTCTTACCCAGGCAGAGGTTCACAGAAGCAACCGCAGGGGTGGTTAAACCCTCTCACGTAGCCTGGCCGCACAGGACATGAGGGATGCTCAATGTTGGTAGCTGGAAGACAGAGTAGGTGGACCATGAACTTGAACTTCAGACAGCCAGGCCACTACACAGAACTGCCTTGGTTGGGCACGCATAGGGTGTGCAGACCCAAACACCTGGGCCAGGGGAGTCAGCCAGGGGAACTATTACTCGGCCCAGAGGTCCTTCCTACACCCTGCCTATCCATTGCCCCTCTCACCTATAAATATACAGTCCTGTTCACATGCGCGTGCATGCTCACATACACGTACACACTGGTACACATTCATGCACTTATACACACATCCGTGTACACAAACTCATACACATTCACACGCTCAGATGCACACACCATATACTTTTACAGACCCACATGCCCCTCCCATACACACTCATGCACACCCACCCAACACATAACCCATGCATTCACCTATTCTCAGTCATACGTGTATGCGCGCACACACAAATGCACACGCGTTCTCCTCACCTCCACCCACCCGGCTTCTCCCAGCCCTGCCAGAAGAGTGGCGAAAAGAGCAATGCCCAATGTGAGGCTTGCAGTGAAGGGAGGACAAGGGCCCCGTTAGGTGGACCCCCTACGTGGAGGCTCAGAGAAAGTCACTCTCTAGAGGAGGCCCCGTAAAAGGCGCAGCGGCTGGGCTCCCCTCCTCCGAGAGGAAGCCTGGGGACAATCCTCTCAGAGGGACAACCCACGGGCAATCCTCTCAGAGGGACAACCCACGGGCAATCCTCTCAGAGGGACAACCCACGGGCTCGCATGGAGGCAAGTTCACATTTGCAGGGGCCAATTCGGCCTCCGCGGGCATTTGTAAAGGCACCACTGGTGACATCTGGGACTTACAATGAAAGGTGACTTTTCCAGCTCAGATCCCCCAGGACACAGAATCTCCCCAAACCCCACACAGCAAGCAGCACGGAAGATCCCCGGGGCTAAGTCCTCCAGAGAGTCCCATCAGGTGGGCTGAATGGAGGCGCATGGAGGGAAAGGGCCCAGTGGTCCCCAGAGGCTCACCATTGGTGCTGATGACTCCACCCTCGTATTTTTTGATGAGCAACAAGTCCACGAAGTCTCTGGGAGAAATGATCTTCATGGCGGCCGAGGGGGTGGAAGTTCTGCTGATGAACAGTGTCTGCCAAAGCAAGGGGGTGGGGGGCAGCTCTCTCTGTCTCTGGGGGCCAGACCGCTTCTCCCCGCTCATCTCATCAACCCAGAGTGCCTGGCCCCAGAGGCAGGAAGCAGGAATGGTGTGGGTACTATGAATGGAGGAGATAAAGGATGAGCTCCCTGCTCCCCCTGCAAGAGCCACATTTCACGGAACTATAGATACCCTGTTTATAAACTCTAATGCTGACATTGTTGCTCCCGGCCAGCTAGGTCATGCTGGGGCTATGTCCCAAGAGGGATCACAGCACCGCCATTGAGTATCTCATAAGAGCCTTGTGGGGTCAAGGCTCTCTTTTGTCCCTCAGAACTGTGAGCAATGGGTATTACTCACCCATCCTACAGAGGAGGAAACAGGTTTCAGAACTTACCCACAAAGCTCACAGTGGAAATGGAATCTGAAGAGCATCAGGATTCAGGTGAGGCAGGAGAGGTGCCAGAGGCCAGCATTTAAGGCGGCACACTTCTTTTAAGCCAGCCCTGCACTTGTATAATCCTGAGAATGCGTGCCTCCTTAACAGTCATGCCCTTGGTGCAGAACTCTGCTTCCTCCCCAGTCCTGGCCCTAGGAGGCAGCTCATCTGGAATCTCACTCCATTTCCATATACCCCACCTGTCTACCCTCCAACTCGCTAAACCATGGGCACCCCATCCTGCCCTGTGCTTTACCGCCCCCATCCCCTCTTCAGCTGTCTCCAGGTGAGGATGAAGAGGTAGAGGTCAGGTTTAAGGGGAAACCTCAAGGTGGGAGGACTTGGGAGACTGAGAAACAGCAGAGAAACCTTTGGGCAGAGAACCTGCTGACCTCAGCATATTCGGGGGGAAGGGCACACCAGCCATAGGGCACATGGTCACTTTACAATGGGGGACCAGGACTAAGTTTCCTGATGCACCAGCCCTCATGTGTCCCTTTTCCTAAAATGACCACCACTCCGGGCTCCCCCCCTCCGCCCCACAAACAGTCTGCACTTTCCTGTAGGATCTCCCTGCCCACTTGCCCCTTCCCCACTGGAAAAGGAACCCATATGCCCCCAGCCACCTGGGAGCAGCCCGGCATCTATTGTCCTAGGTTGCAAAGTGCCCGTGGTCGCCCAAGAGACGCTTAGGAATACCGGTTCAATACTGAATCAGGTCCCCACCACCACCACCACCACACCCACACCCACACTGGTGTCCGAATGTGGTGTGGACCCCCTTCCTTAAGCACACTCCTAGGGAAGGCACGAGGCATGGCCTTAGAAACCAAGTGGTTTGCCTTTGCTGATTGAATTGGGATCTTTTGTAGAGGAGGTGGCAGATGAACTATTTTATCTCTCATGACCATATCCCTTCAACCTGATGACTGCTAAACAATTCGTCTTACAAGGAGGAAACTGCCATCCAGAAGTTACCGATTGGCATGGCTCCTCCCTCGCTTCAGCCAGGGCTCTCCAAACTCAAGACTCAGCACCTGGAAATGCTGCCAGTTCCAGCAGATGGCCCCGCCCAGAGCCCCGCCCTCTGCATCCCCAGAGCCAGCCTGTGGGCGACACACCTCTGTTGGCCCGCTGCCAAGTTCTCACCACTCTGGTTAGGGTTTCTCGGGCTCTCTGCAACACAGGACTTCCTGCTCATACCTGAGCTTGATGTTGCAAGCACAGGGCGAAGTGTGCTTGCTGGGCAGCTGGGGTCTGCGGGTAGGCCCCTTTGTCCAAAGGGGCCACGGACTCCCCTCCCCCTTCCCAGGAGGCTTGTAAAAACTGGCATCAAGGATGTTTTTGATCACTTCAAAGCCTGTTGGGAAGACTTACATCTGTGATGTTTTCGATTATTTCGAAACTGTTCACGTTCTCATCCCATTTCTCTCGCAATCCCCCAGAGACAGGCTTGATGCAGTCCCACACCTTCTTCGGCGTCCCGAGCACAACGCCTTCCCCTCGGTACCTGGAACACAAACAGGGGTCTGAGCCAAGGGCATCCGTCAAGCTTGCTTTTTTGGGGGATGATGCTTAAGGACTAGGGAGTCCCTGAGCGGTACACCTGCTTCATGTGCTGGCTGCTAAACAAAAGCTCAGAGGTTTGAGTTCACCCAAAGGCAGCTCGGAAGAAAGGCCTGGCGATCTACTTCCCCAAAGAAGTCAGTCACGGAAAACTCTATGGAGCATAGTTCTCTGACACACAAGGGAGGGCCTGATTGACTATGGGCAACTGGCTTGGTTTCATATGGACCACCAAAGAGTAGGCCAAGTCTGCCTCCTGTCTTTTGCACAGTGAAATGGTTGGCATCTCCTAGCCGGCATCCCGAAACAGAGGGCTTGTGAACGTCGGCTTTCACAAGAGCCTGGATTGCTGAAAAGCATTCCTTCAACAGCACAGGGCAATGGCTTTCCTGGGGAATAACTTTGGTGAGTTGGCCCTAGGTGCTGGGACTAATTGGGACCTTTCAGGAAGCTGACAGGTGTGGATAGCAGGAAGGGTGCGGCAGCTCAGACACACTTGCAACAAGGCGTGCACTTACAGGTTCCCTGGAAACTCCACTGATGGCCGCCAGGAAACGGAAACTCCGTTCTGTCAAAAGGCACAGAATCGCAGGATTTTAGAGCTGCTCTTGGTCATCAGCGGGCTCCACCCATTTTACAGAAGAGGAGCGGTCGCCCATGGTCGCCCAACCGGGGCTAGCCCTGCACTCGCTGCCTCCCGCTGCAGAGCAGTGGCGACAGGACTTCGAGGGGGTCTGGGGTGCGGGGCCAGACACCTACAGCCATAGGAGCCTCACACCACCTCCGTAGCTGCCACGCATTCTGTTTCCTGAGCGCCTTACGACTGTGAGTTAAAAACGAGGCAGTGTCAAGTAAGCAAAACTACTCCTTAAGCAACTCCAAAGCCTGATGTTTCAAGGAGGCTCTAAAACCTCACTACTGCGTCCCAGCCAAGTGACCTTGGGCGAGTCATTCAACCAAAGGGGCAGATACTTACGTCCTGGGGCCACCCTAGGGCACAATACTAATTAAGCAAGCAACTCCAAGTGGATTCCCCTCCTCAATCCAGCTCCACGAGTGATGCAGAGGGAAGCGGGGAGACCAGGAGCCTGCAGGTGCCTGGGGGGTTCCGGGACCCCCAGGGAGCAAAGGCCACCGCGACCCCTTCCCACCCAGCTCCTCACTCACGCCCTCCCGGCAAATTTTCCAGCTTGACGTGTCTCGCCGGTATTGCAGTAACTTCTCGGCCACCGCCTCGCTTATCTGCGTGGCCAGAGCCGGGTCCATTGCGTCCGGAGCTGCGCGTGGCTCCGTAGTCGCGAGTGGCACCCGCGGCACTTGGAACCTGGAGGCCAGAGAGCCTGGACCCTGCGCGGAGCCCGGAGCCCCGCCCCCTCAAGCCCCGCCCCCGCCTCCGGATTGGTCCAGAGCCTCCGACGGGTCCCGCCCCGCTTCGGGATTGGCAGAGCCAGAGGTCGCCGGCCTCTGCTGGCTCCGTCACAACCTGGGCTGGTCCTAGACGCACCCAGCGCGGTCCTGCGGGCTCAGTGGCTTGTGTGTCCGGTTCTGGCTGAGACCCTGGAACCTGTAGACTCTGAGAAGGGCCAGTGGTGGAGAGACGAGTGGGCCAGGCCAGATAAGGGGCAATGTCATAAGCTTGCTTAAGGAACGTGGATTTCTGTCTTGCGTGCAAATAGGCTCATCTAGGCCCGAAGATGGTGACATTTGCAACAGAAATAATCTCATGGGGAGGCTGCTGCGGGGTCCAGAGAAGGGATGCTGCCTAGGTGGTGGGGAAAGAGATGATGGTGGTAGGAGTTGAAACCTTTTCTTAGTCCTGCTGAGTGGCTGGTGATTTCAAACTGCTGACCTCTTGGGTGGCAGCTCAACTTCTAACCACTCTGCCACCAGTGCTCCCTGTAGAACCTGGGACACCTTCCATAGGGCTGCTGTGAGTCAGAGTCCACTCGATGGCTCCACAATCAAAGTTCATGGAAGCAGCTGTCAAGAGATCAAAAGACAAGTTGCGTCAGGTACATCTGCTACACAAGACTTCTTCAGAGCACTGAAAAGCAAGGGTGTGACTTTGAGCACTAAGGTGGCCCTCACTGAAGCCGTGCTATTTCCAGTAGCCTCGTTTGAATGCTGGTGCTGGTGGAGGATATGGAAAGTACCAGGGACTACCAGAAGGACAAACAGATCTATCTTGGATTAAGTAAAGCCAGAATGCTCCCTAGAAACGAGGATGGTGAGACTTCATCTCACAACATTTGGACATGTTATCCGGAGAAAGCAGGCCCTGGAAAAAGACCTTGGTAAAGTAGGGGTAGCAACCGAGGAGGATCGTGTTAGACGCACTGACAGTGGCTGTGCTTTGGCCTCCATCAGAGAACAGTTGTGAGGACGGCCGGGACCGGCAGCATTTGGTTCTGTTGCATCTCGAGTCACGTGACAACAATCGTTCTAGGCCCACTTTCATCCCCCTATGAGGGTGTCAAAAGACATTGACACGGAGTCCCTTTGCAGTCACGGCGACCCAAATAGCATTTGCAAGGCTGTGAATCTGTGCGGTGCAAAGAGCCTCCTTTGGAGCGGCGCAGGAGTTTGACCGTCTGATCTTGCAGTGATCGGCCCCTCGACTCATCCAAAGCACGATCAGAGTTCCTTATTGCAGTTTGGAGCAATCAAGGAGGTTAATCCTTGAGCCTCAGTTTGCTCAATGGGAAAAGGGGATAATAATAAATATTTCTCCAAGCTGTTGGGAATTAACACAGGCGACTATTCTCAGAAGCCAGAAAGGAAAAGACAAACACATTGGCCACATTCAAGGAAAACGAAGTACACCCACAACATCACCAAAAGGCAGATACGCACCTGAGAGAGAAAACAACAATGAGAATGCATTTAACCCCAAATAAGAGGTTTTTTTTTAATGTGCCAAGTGCTGCTACAAATCCTCAAACACTCCACACCGTGTTGGACAGAAAGAAAGCCTCAAACATGAAGAGCTAATTGGGAGAAAAGCAAATGAGCATGGCCAATATCGACAGGAGCTCAGTACGTGGATTACCAGGAAGATGAGGAAATGCATTATTCTTCACATAGCTGATCGGTAAAGAGGAAGAGATCTGTTAATACCATGCTTTGGTTGGCAAGAATCTGGATAAACAGTTGCTTTGGATGGAAGTATAAACTGATACAGACATCAGGAGCAAGAGAACAATGTTTATTAATGTTTCCATTTACTGCTTCTTGAGCCCAGCAACTTCCCTGCACAGGAATGTATACAATTGTTCCTGCAACTAGAAACACCCTAACTCTTCATTAAAAGGAGCCAGGGTAAACAAAATATGAGCTATCCATTTAGTATTGCATATAGCCTTTAACATTTATGGTGCAAAGGAAGAGTCACTTAGAGATGGCCCAGAGCAAGTGGGATACAATCAGTGCTGAGACCCAGACCGAGAAATGTGAGCTGATATCATTAGGCAGGATTTTCAAACCAAGAGCCGTTTACTTTGTATCAGAAATAAATTGGATTTAAGATTCAACACAATGTTATTTAAATCAACAATGTCTGTAGCAGTATGTGGACAGAGAGCTGCCGGAAATGTCAAGCTGGATTCAGACGAGGCCATGGGAGGAGGGATATCATTGCTGATGATAGATGGATCTTGGCTGAGAGCAGAGGATACCAGCAGGATGTATGTATACGTGATGTATACTTGTGTTTTATACAAGGCATTTGACTGTGTAGAGCATAACAAATGATGGATAACACAGAGAAGAATGGGTATTCCAGAGCACTTCATTTGGATTACGAAGAACCTGTACATGAACTAAAGGGCAGCCAGACAAACAGAACAAGAGATACCACATGGTTTAAGATCAGCAGAGGTGTGTGTCAGGGTTTTATCTTTCTACCATACTTGCTCGGTCTCTGTGCTGAGTTTATCATCTGAGAAACTGGAGTATATGAAGGACACTATGACCTTAGGGTGGGAGAAAGGCTTATTAATAATCTTGATAGCAGATGGCACATCCTTGCTTGCTGAAAATGAGGAAGACTTGAAACACTTGCTGATGAAGGTCAAAGGTGGATTACAATTTACAGTAAAGAAAACTGAAATCCTCACAACTGGGCATCCTAACAAACGGAGAACAGATCCAAGTTGACAAGGATTATCATTTTGCTCTGAGCCACAGTACAGAGCTCATGGAAGCTGCAGGCAAGCAATCAAGTGATGCATGCCTTGGGAACATCTGCTGCTTAAGACCTCATTGAAGTGTTGAAGGACAAAGATGTTACTTTGAAGATTAAGGGATTAAGGTGAAGCTAATACAAGCTATCATCTTCTATACACATGAAAGCTCTTCATGATGCTCCCCTTCCCGACATGACCGCTGAAGACAAAGCGGGTGCATAAGCAAATGTAGTGAAGAAAGCTGATGGTGCCTGGCTATCAAAAGATATAGCATCTGGAGTCTTAAAGGCTTGAAGATAAACAAG